TTCCGATCTCAAAGTCATGAATCTAACCACTGAGCCAACCCACCCCCAAGAAGTTTTTGTTAATCCAATTTTTATTTTATGGTACAACCACCTCTCGGCATAGTGAGATGGGAGAAAATGAAACTCCGGTGATGGCAGAAAATGGAACTCCTCCTCCTTCAGACGTCAAACTTAACGAAGTCAAAGCATTTAAGCTTCCCCTTTTTGGAAAAGCAACCCAACACTTTGGTTTGCTCAAATAGAAGCGCTGTTTGAGATTTATAAAATCAGATCAGATAATATTAAATACTTTACTGGTATCTCTACCTTGGACAGCATTATTCTACAACAGATTTGTGATTTAATAACAAAACCTCCTGATTCTTTTATTACAAGACTGAAACAACCTTCACAACTTTTAACGAAAATGAAAACACTAGCAATTGACCGGATCTGTAGCGAGGTTTTACGTATTCTATGGCTGCAAAGACTTCCTTCTCGCATGCAATTAGAATTATCAGCAAGTGATAAACTAGAGATTCATAAAATGGCACAAATCGGTGACAAAATTTTAGAAGTTGTTACTTTTGGTACAGATAATCAAGTACAGTTCATCAAATTTCTAGAGGCTTTCGACGGCTAGACAGAGAAAGCACTACTGACAGGCATCCCGACGGATTTACGCAATGAAAGTACACTCTGCGCATCAAGTATTTCACTATTTCATTCAGACGTAAATGTCAGATGTAAATTTCCCTAAAACATTTCTTTTATTTTCGTTTGTGTTTTTTGCTCATTACAGTTTAATAGAACCTAAGTATGGAGTTTAATAGCAAATTAAGAGGCCGCGTGATTAACAGTCAATCTCGCGAAATAATAGCCAATGTTATAGAGTTTATGAGAAGAGAAGGAAACTTTAATTCACCTTCAATACCATTTAAAAATGTAAATGATCGTGTTGCTGCAGCCACAGGAGTATCTAAAAACACTGTCGTCCGCATTTCTGGAGAGAAAAAAAGAATCGATAACCGTGAGATATCGGAATTTTCATCACCAAGAAAAACCATTAAAAAACCAAAAACAGTTAATGATATAGATGAAGCTGCACAAGAATCAAATTTTATTTTTTTATTATTAGATAGCTATTTTTGTTTCTGAGTTGTGTTCATTTACAGGCTCAATTTTTTTCCGTTTCTCCTTTTTGATTTTATATGGGGTTTTAAGTTGTTTTTGACTTATTTCGACGTAAATCACAACAACACACTTTTTTAATAAACCAAACAAGTGTTAAGAGGTATATGTACGTGTAAACTACAATTACAAAAAATTGATATGAAACCCATGAAACCACCAACAAAAATGTAAAGCTAGCTTCCGTACTAGAACATGGTGTCATTCGTCGAGATAATTTATCGTTTTGTTTCATAGATCAAGAAATGTAAATATTCCCCTGTTATTTTTTATAAAATTATAAGAGAAATAAATTTTTTTCTAAATAGTATAGTTTATTATTTTGTAGAAAAACAAAATTTCGAAAATTTTAGTAATGTTTCAGAAACAACCGTTATTAATAATAGGTATCATTTTCCTTAATAAGGTAGAAATAAAATATAAACTATTTCCACGATTTACAAAGGCCTACAAAAAAATTATAGGTATTTTCCGCTATCCTATAAAATTTATATTTTCTGACTCAATTTCAAAAGGTTTTATGGAATTCCAAAACACCTTTTATGGCATAATAATTATTTTCAATTCTACATACTATCTTTAGCTGCTTTTAAAAACGTTCTAAGAAAGTCCAATCAGACCAATTTAATCTCTAAACTATTCCACACTTTTAAAATTTAATTACCTAAAAATATTAAAAACTATTTAAAATAACTTGTTTAGCAGACTGTACAATAGCTATCTTAGTCACACGTAGCGCGTTCTCTGTCTGGGCGTCGGACACCTCTAGAAATTTGATGAACTGTATCTGCCCTTTCTCGATACAATTTTTTCGCCGCTTCGCAAGATTTACCTTTAAAAAATTTCGAGGAGGAATTAGAAGTTTTGGTTACTTCTTTCAATAAACTTCAACATGACTTTTTAAACTTCAAAAATAAACATCGACATTGCAATCAACGATCGCATTCACATTCTTGAACAAGCAAATGTGTTTTTATCACAGTTATTTCGGAGAAAAAATCAGAAAATGTACCAGACTATGTGCATACCAACCAACACTCCAAATTCCCACGTCGGAAAACTATAGAAAACATTCCATTTAAGACGTTGGAAGATGTTACAGTCCTGCCGTAAAATGGTATTTTCCTAACTGATCGCAAGTCTCGCATGCAATTTTTAGGTTACACTGGTGCTGACGTTTCTGTTCTTGCCATACAAGAGTCAATCAAGTCCATAATCACTGATTTTAACTTATATGCCGCAAATGGTGATGTCATTAGCACTTACGGCCATAATTTTTTTTATGTTTAGATTTATTACTTCGCAGATCTCTCAAATGGCAAGTTGTGATTGCAGATGTTTCTCGTCCAATTATTGGTGAAGATTTATTAAAATTCTATGATCTCTTGGTCAATCTACAGCGTCACAAGTTAATCGATACAGCAACCCTGTTATCCTCTTTTGCTCATTCTGTCAAGTATAATCATGGCACTATTAATTCTATTGTCAAATATTCTGTATTTAACAAAACACTTTTCACTTTCCCTGAGATCTTACGTACTTCATCTGTTTCCTAAAAGGCAACCATTCCGTTTTTCATTATATAGTGACCAATGGCCCTCCTTTATTCGAAAAACCCCGCCGGTTATTTCCTGAGAAATTAAAAGTTGCGAAACTCGAATTTGAATACATGATGTCGTCCTTTAAGCAGCTGTTGGGCAAGCCCACTTCACATGGTTGCTTAGTCACAGCCCGGAAGTTGGAGGTCTTGTGGAGACTACCGACGACTAAACGCTCAAACCGTTGTAGATAGATATCATATTCCACATATTTAAGACTTTTTAAGTATTCTAGTTAAAAAGAAGATCTTTAGAAAATTAGACCTTATTCGAGCTTACCACCAAATCTCTATTACAGAACACGATAATCCTAAGACAGCCGTTACTACACCTTTCGTGTTATTTGAATTCCCTTATATGACTTTCGGTTTATGCTGCACAAACTTTCCAAAGATCCATAAATATTGTTCTTTAAGGTATAGATTTCGTTTACTGTTACATTGACGACATACTAATCGTAATTACTAGTGTAACCAAGCTGGATCATCTGAACAACTTAAAAATAGTTTTTGAACGACTTCTAGAGCACTTGAAAGCATTGAAATGTTCTTTCGGATTACCTGAATTTCAATACCTAAGATACCTCATTTCGGAAAAAGGAAGTAAACCTTTACCGGAAAAAGTAGATGCTATTATTAGCTATCCAAAACCAAAAACCATCAAAGATTTGCATCGATTTCTTGGAATGATAAACTTTTATAGATGATTTCTTAAAAATAAATTTATCAGTCTTCGTTCAACGAATACTTAAAAACGCTACGAACAATGATAAACACATTGTCGATTGAAATTTCGAGTCTGAGGTCATTCGAAAACTGCAAAAAAGCTTTAGCAGACGCAACATTATTAGCACATCATATAGACGACCCCGTTTTTTGTCTAACTACCGACGTATTTTTCGCCATTGGGGCATCCTTAGAGCAGTTGAATGATGATGTGTGGGAAACGCTTGCATTCTTTTCAAAGAAATTGAGTGATACGCAAAGAAAATATAGTACTCGTACTTACGACACTGAACTCCGTGGAATTTACGAAGCTGTAAACCACAAACCATTACCATTTGCTTTTAGACAAAAATTAGATACAAGTTCTCTATTTCAATCTAAACAACTCGACTTTATCGGCTAATCTTACAACCAGTGACTGAACCCGAAGAGTTAACAAGATTTAAAAAAATAACGGTTTTTCAAACATCAATTATTAGTCCTTCTAACTCTTCTCAAGGGATCTACTGTGATGTTTTCGAAAATCAAATTCGACCTTTTGCACCCAAAAGTCTTCTAAACAAATTTTTTAGTATGTGTCATGGAATGGCCTTTCCTAGCGTATGGGTAACGATTAATTTAATTCAACAAAGATTCATCTGTATTTGAATCAAAATCAAACTTATTAATTATTTAAAAATTACCTCATAAGTAACCTCTACTGTGTTCTTATTATCATATCGGTTAACTATTAGAGTATTATACAGTTTCTCTACAAATATAAACAAACAATTTTAAGTTTCCAGAGAATCCTGGTTAACTATTAGAATGTTAAACAGTTTCTCCACAAATATAAAAATACTATTTTTAGTTTTCTGACGCTCCAGAAAACCACTAAAATTGAGTTACAACCTTATTTAATGAGGGTGTCGATGTATTGAAGTGAAATAAAGACATAGGCCTAATGTTATTTTATGTTTCTACCGTAATAACACCGTAGTTAAAGTTAGGTCCTTCCAAAGAACAACAACAATACAATATTTTTAACCATAACAAAGAAGTAATAAACTCGATTTACTTACGTCTTTATCTAATCACAACTTTACCAAGCATGCCAAGCATTTGATATACGTCATTATTCTTGGTCAACTAAATTGTTTTGGTGGACGTAATATGTAACTATGCCTAAATAAGAAACTATTGACTTCTACTGGGTGTATTGACTTCGACCGACAACTCTCTACCCCAGAGAGCTTTCGTTTGTTGATTCATTTTGCTATAGATAATTGGTTTAGTTATCGAGATACAGTGTTAAAAATTTGAAATAAAAATTAAAAATTTACCATAAATCAAAAACGCCTTTAAATATTTTTTAAAATTTCGTTACCTCGCCCTGTATATAGAAACAGTTAATTTCAATATTTTTATTACTGTACGATATTATCGATATTTTTATTACGTACATAAGTTGATACTTTAATGACTCACTTTTTAAAAAATTCACGAACACACATTTAATAAAACTTACCTTTTGTATATGATTCCCTTTCATATTGAGCTTGATCAGATGCAACCCGTAGAAACTATAACTTGGCAAATCTACAATAACATTAGCTTCTAAATCAAGAGCTATCAGCTTGTTCAAACCCTTAAACACCTTTTGTGGGATTTCCTTAAGTCTCCCCGAGACCAAGCTGAAGGACTCCAGGTACGGCTTGAGGGGGAGTAGACAGTCGTCGTGTAGCTCTTGAATACTGCTTTGCGAGATTTGTAGGTGTTTGATGATAGTCGAGTCGGGGAAAAAATGTTTTGGAAGTTTGACCTGTAACAGATTAAGACGCTTGCTTAGAAAATGTAAAAACAACAATTTATATTTCGCTAATTTATATAATATTAATAGTATTGTTATTTTAATTTCAAATATGTTTATTTATTACATAACTGTCATTTTGACATGAGCTACATGTTGTCTTGTCAATGGTAATGTAAATTTATTTTAAACCCTACGTTGCATATGATGAATTTAGTTTAATTTTTACTTTATATCCGGCTAGCTAGATTTATTGTTGATGAAATATCATTATTAGATATGCTTTATTATATCTTTAATATTATATACTTGATAATAAATAATTTACTGTTATATATGTTTACCTTTTATTTCAACTCTTACCTCAGGATTAGTAGCAGGTTCATTTACTTTTTCAGTAACCCTCGTATCAGAACATTGAAATTGCTAACATAGAAAGTAATTTAGCATATAGATTATTATAGATAGAGAAAGGTAGACAACACAATACATTTATTTTAAATGGAGAAAAATAATAACAGTATTAACATTAACTACGATTCCTATGGGGAAATAGGTTAAATATATGTCTAATTCATTCATACTCAACACTCATACTTGCCTAGGATGACTATAAAACTTAAAAATAATGACAAAATTTAAAAAAAAAATTAAGTTGGTAATATGTAAATGCCAAAAATGTCTATTTGCAATCACAGGTCATTGGCATGATCGTGAACCTACAAATATTTTGGCTTTTTATGATTGTACAAATGGAATACAACTTATTAAAAGTAAAGAATAATTATGCCAATAATTTAAACTGGTAAATAATTTAACTAATTAATTTGGTACCTTTTAAGAAGAAGTTCAAACTCACAGTTATGAATCACTTTGTTGTTCTTTTCATTTTGTAGGTTAAAAATCCATGATCCTGGAATTATTCTTGAGATTAACTTAAGGAGGTCCTTTCGCCACCCCTTTCGCCACCAATGTTAAATAAAAAATATTAAATTATGACTAAAATTTATATTTTTTCTAATAGTTGAAGTCCTTATTTATCTAATAGTGAACTTTTAACTATACCTTACTGTGCAAATTTTTGAGATTTTTTTATTAAATGTGACTATTTGTACAGTGTCTTACGAGAAAGTAAGACCTCAACAACAATTCTCGAATTATACTATTATTTAATGATTAGATGAAGTAGAAAAAATCTAAAAATAAGGTTCTTGAAATATTTAGGTTTTGTTTTTTACAATAAAATATATAGGTTACCGTGGAATTTATTGAGAAATTAATATTAAAAAAAAATTCAAGTAACCTAGTTGAACTTTTTTTGTGATTGTTTAATATTAATTTCTCAATAAATTCCACGGTAACATATATATTTTATTGTAAAAAACAAAAACTAAATATTTCAAAAACCTTATTTTTAGTTTTTTTCTACTCCATCTAATCAATAAATAATAGTATACTTAATTATAATTCGAAAATTGTTGATGAAGTCTTACTTTCTCATAAGACACTGTACTAATACTCACATTTTTAAAAAAATGTTTTATCAAAAATTTGCACGGTAAGGTATAGTTAAAAGTTCACTAATAGATAAATAAGGACTTCAACTATTAGAAAAAAATTAATTTTAGTCATAATCTAATATTTTTTATTTAACATTGGTGGCGAAAGGACCTCCTTAAGGAACTTCAAGAGTATCTCAAACTGTTTCAAAAGACACCTCCAATCGTCCAATTCTCGGGCTTGTCTTCATGACATTACAGGTATGTTATAATTTTCACTATTTGAAACGTTATTCTAGGTTCTAGATTAATATTCACTATTACTATAACAATTTTAAATTGTACTACCTTTATGTAATAAGTTTTACATTAATATTTCTTTCTTTTTAGAGAAACGAAATTTGCGTGGCATCTTCAACAAAAAATTCCTGCCAAATTCCCCTATACTAGCTTTTGTTTTATCAACAGAAACAAAAGAAAAATTGGATCCAACGGCTTGAAATTATGTTTAACCAATCGAACAAAAGTCTTCTGGTTCTTTTATATTTAATTGATTCTCTTTTAATGGTAAGTGAGTTTATTTTAAATATTCATTAAATAATTTTTCGAACAATTTCTTTTAAATTTTGACAACAGTTATTTTCATGTCTGTGTCAATTTTAAGTAATTTGAATTTTTATGTCACATAATTTTAGGTTGGTACCTTGTTAGTTTATTTTTTTAAGATTTAACAACCTTTCTGATATACAGGGTGTTAAAATTTTATCATCCAATTTTTTTTTTAATTTTGTGTTGAATCTGTATTTGTTTATTATAATTAATTACATTTTTAGATTATGATGATGTTCATATGCCAAGGATTACTGGAATATTGTCTGCTGTTAATATTTTGTTGCCTGAATTGAAATTATAGCACCCTTTTGTTGGATTTACTTTAAAATATAAGGTCAGTTTCCTTTTTCTTTACATATATAACAATAGATTTATTTATTATATTGGCTTCGCTATAGCCTTAATAAATATTTTAAAGTGTTCGAGAGATAATTGTGTGTCATAGTTTCATTGTATCATGCTCACGTTTTCTTTACATTACAGTATATAGGTAATTTTACCAATTATATTGTGTACGTCACCACTATCATACTAAATAAGGATTATTGAATAATTGTATTATTTTCTGATACACTATTTTAGGAATTGAACGATAATCTCATTTTTATTTTTATTAAGTTTTGCCTATTCTTTATGAATTAATTTTTCTAAATCTTATTTTTTTCTGTTGTATAATATAGTACCCAATTCTAGAAAATCATTGATAATCCTAGTTTAATTTTTATCAAGTTTTGCTGATTCTTTATGAATTAATTTTTCTGCATACCTCACAGAGTTGGTTCAAAACAGTAGCTGTTACGTCTCTCATAGCAACGTTCCATTTTTCCAATTTGAGCATCGTAGTATTTCAGATTCTCTACACCAATTTAATTAATTTTTAATGAGATTTATATAAGAGCAATCGCGATACCAGATGACCATGTTCGCATAGTAATTCGTCTTTTACATAATTAGTAACCTATTCTTGTCAAAGATATTCAACAGTTTTATTTTAAACTCATTTTTGCAAAAACCTATTCTTATACTTTGCTGCCTTTCTTGTAAGATGTAGATTAGTAATAAATAACTTGCGGTTCATGTAAAATTGATTTTAAATTGCAAAGAATCATGATAGTCTGCACATCATGGACAACTACGAAGTTCTTATCTCTATTTTCATGACCTTTTTTTGAGCTGTTCAATTTATTTAGTGTTCACAGATTATTTAGATACAAATTCCTAATCAAATTCTGTATAAGAATCTGTTTTGATAGCGAAAGATGTATGTAGAGTCCGATAACAACAAGAACACCAATTCGTCATAACCAAGGACCGAAAAAAATGCAATTTGCATTTTTTGTATTTTTTTTTTCTACAAATTAAGAAATGTTGCATTTTTTCAAATTTTCCACATCTTGGCATTTTTTTTTATAAATTCAGAAATATTGCATTCATTTTCAATTTTCAATCCCATACGTTTACTTACAAGTAAAGTATCAGTCGTAAACTCAGCGGGTGGTTATAATCCATTTCTTAAGAAAAATATTTAAATGAGGTAATTTATTTTATTTACAACCATATATGTAATGTTGTCATTACTAACGGCATTGAAGGTTGGAAAGTGTCACATTACACACCTCTACTTCCCGCCCTCACTTCCCGCCCTCATTTCATCTATTCTAGATGAATATTTTTTATATTTAAAAAAAAACACATTGTTTGACAAATTTTATAATACCTATTTAATGGCAAACAGTAAAAAACAACAATGATCTAAAATATAACAAACTACTTATTGATATTTATTTAATATCCGGCTTTATCTGACATTTATTTATATTGGTGACAGTTGTTTACCCCGTAATCACAGTAACAATATATTTACCTACTTGATTATTCTGAGAAAACCGCGCTCTTGGTAATTTGTCGTTGAATGTAATGTTTTAGGTATGTTCAGAACAAAACAGAGATTTATTAACTTTGATCGAAATATGATGGTTGTAAATAAAATAGTAAACAAACCTCGGTAGGAAGTTTCATTCCTGTCTCGAAATCATAGCTAACCTCGACGCTTCGCGTCTCGGTGATCTAACTAATCTCACGACAGGAATGAAACTCTTTCCACCTCGGTGTGTAATATACTATTTATTACCTATAGTTAACCTGGCCCGTAGGATAACATTACGGATGATTAGACAATTTGATTGGAAAAACCTGTAAGCTCTGTTTAGGGGGGATAAGTAGGTATACAAGAATTTAAATTTTAAGATGTTGAAAAGCTGAAGTTCATTTCGTGTCTTGTTCGGCCGGCCTTGGGTTGTTCGGTATTATTTTATTAGCGTAACGACTACATTTATCGAAAAAATGCCAAAATTGAAATTTAAACAATTGTGTATAAAGGCCTAATAAAGGCGCATTATGAGCTTTCATGGGACGGAGGCAATGTATTTTGCACAGTGTGCTCAAAAATTGTAAGTACCTATTATACATATACTCTTTACCTACCTTCATACTAATTTAATTAACATATAATTTATAATACCTAAATATTTCTTGTTTAAAAATTGCTACAAATATTTGATTTCTCATGGCATGTCCTAACAAGCAAACCATTTAACTTGCGTTTCTTTGTTGTTTAAGATCCACGCCGACAAAAAGTTCATCGTGGATCAACATGTAAAAACATCAAGACACATTGCAGCATTGCGAAAATTGCAAAAAAGCGCAAAACCACAGCATACTTCAAAAAATTGTGTTTTACAAAGTTCGCAGGAAAACAACTAAATGCAGTTTTACGAAGATTTAGGCAAAGCAATGATTTCAGCAGATATACCCCTAAATAAATTAAATATTGTAAATTTAAAATCATTTTTGCAAAATTATTGCATGTTCAATGTACCATATGAATCTACACAAAGAAAA